TCCATTCTAACAAATGAGCTGTTTTGTTTTTCCCTTATTTTTAGTGTTTATTTATTCATTTGTGTGTGGCTGTTTCATCTGTATGTATGTCTGAGCACCACATGCATGTGTATGGCTCTTTCATCTGTGTGTATGTATGATGTCTGAGCACCATATGCCTGCCTGGTCCTGGCAGAGGCCAAAAGCAGGTGTTGGGTTCCCAGGAACTGGAGCTGCCTGGGAACCAAACTCATGTCCTGTGCAGGAGCAGCCTTTTATTGCGTGTCAAACACTGTGACAGCGTTATGGAGTTCTGACTGCCCTCTCAGCCTGAGATGGTCCGCTGTGGTCTGGACCCCAACGAGGGGCAAGCTGGGGCCAATGTCAAGCCCACTGCTTGCTTGGTCTTCTGCCCACACCTGACCCTAGACTGCCTGACACCAGCTGGTCAACCATACTCAGTCTAGCTTTTTGGTTTTTGTATCTGGCTGCTTCTTCCACATCTAGTCTGGCTGTCAAATGGCAAAGATGTAAAGATAAACTGGAAGGGACCTTCTGCGTGTGCTGCTTCTGTGTGAGCACGGGGTCACTTCACTGCACAGCCATGAGCACTGTGTACGTAATTCCAGTTCTTCCTGTTCTGGAGCTGGGGCTCCGTCTTCTCAAAGCCAAGTAGAACGTAAAGGCTCAGTTCTCACTGCCTATAGGAGTCCTCCCTCAGTGCTCCTCCTCTACAGTTCCTCACTGCCCATGTGAGTCCTCCATCAGTGCCCCACCTCCACAGTTCCCTCACTGTCCATGGGAGTCCTCCCTCAGTGCTCCTCCTCTACAGTTCCTCACTGCCCATGTGAGTCCTCCATCAGTGCCCCACCTCCACAGTTCCCTCACTGTCCATGGGAGTCCTCCCTCAGTGCTCCTCCTCTACAGTTCCTCACTGCCCATGGATGTCTCACACAAAACAAACACTTTAAAAAGGCGCCCCAATTTGTATATTAAAGGAGACTTAAAAGACATATTATGGGGCCCCTGGTGAGATGGGCCAGCAAGTAGACCCCTGCTGTGAGCCTAACAACCTGAACTGGAACCTGAGACTTACACTGAAGTAGGAGAAAGCCTACCCCCACATGTTGTCCTCTAATCTACACACACAAACAGACACACACACTCACACACGCACACACACACACTGCACACACCACACACTGTACACACACTGCACACACACCGCACATACACTGTACATACCACACACAGCACGCACGCACACCAAACACACCACACACACCACACACACACTGCACACACACTGCATACCACATAGACACTGTATACTGCACACACACCACACACACTGCACACCACAGACACACAGCACACACATACACACAGCACACACCACATACTGCACACACTGCATGCTGCACACACACCACATACACATAGC